AAACTGGTGCAGCCACTATGGAAAACAGTACAGAGATTCCTCAAAAAGTTAAGAATAGAAATACCTTATGACCCAGCCATCCCACTACTGGGTATCTATCCTAAGAACCTGAAATCAGCAATTCCAAAAGTCCCATGCACCCCTATGTTCATCACAGCATTGTTCACAATAGCCAAGTCATGGAACCAACCTAAGTGCCCAGCAACTGATGATTGGATAAAGAAGATGTGGTATATATATACAATGGAATACTACTCAGCCGTAAAAAAGGACAAAGTCGTCCCATTCACAACAGCATGGATAGACCTTGAGGGTATTATGTTGAGTGAAATAAGCCAGACAGAGAAAGACGAACTCTGTATGACTCCACTCATAGGTGGTAGTTAACATATGGACAAAGAGAACTGATCGGTGGTTGCCAGGGGAAAGGGGGCTGGGGGGAGGGCACTAGGGGTGAAGTGGTGCACCTACAACATGACTAATAATGATGTACAACTGTAACTTCACAAGGATGTTAACTTTCATAACCTTAATAAAAAAAAAATAGCCTTCAGCACTGGCTAATGCCCTTGGACAGGGCCTCTGCTCTGCAGCAGAATTCTGTTCCAGAGAATTCAAGAGACATGCTCTGAGCCGGGAATTGACACATGAACAGTGGATGGTGGAGCAGTGGTTTCCCAAACAGCCCCCCGCCCCGTGCCCCCGGCCTGAAGGCCCCGGTGCCCCTCCTGGGAGGGAAGGTGTGCGTGAGGTCAGGAGCCAGCCACCCTCCCCAGCCTGGCCTGTTCTCAAGTAACATTCGTCATCTGCTTCTGAAGGGAACACCTGCTCACTGGAGAGAACGCAGGAAACAGGCAAAGTGACGAGGAAGAGAGTGGAAATCATTTCTAACCCCACCCCCTCCCAGCCCACGACAGCCACCGGAGTCCCTGGATGTGTTTCCCATAGGTGTTTGGGGTATAGGTAAATGGTTTTTAAACATAATCCGAAGCCTCCTGTAACAGTCTGCTCGGGCTGCCGTAGCTGAATGTCCAACTGGAGGCTTGAACAGCAGGCATTATTCTCTCGCGGTTACGGAGGCCGGAAGGCCAAGGTCACGGTGCTGCCAGGGGCGGCTCTGCTGAGGGCTCCTCCTGGCTTGCAGCCGGCTGACTTCTCACCATGTCCTCCCGTGGTGAAGAGAGAACTCCAGGGTCTCCTCCTCTTCTTATACGGCCACCAGCCCTACCAGGTTAGGGCCCCAGCCATGACCTTGTTTAACCTTAATTGCCTCTCAGAAGGCCCTGTCTCCAAATAAAGTCACACTGGGGGCTGGGGCTTCAATATTTGAATCTGCGGGGACACAAGTCTGTCCACAACGCTACCATACACATGATTTGGTACCTACTTTTTACAATCCGTATTCTATCCCCTGTTAGCCTGTCGGACTCTGGAGTCAGACATCTCTGAGTTCCAGTCCCAGGCACATTCTTGGGCAGCCCTGTGACTCTGGGCAAGATACTTACCCTCTCTGAGGCTCTATTTCCTCCTCTGTAAAATGAAGGTGACAATAGTACCAGCTCTCGTGGTCGTTAGAGGGTGGAATGAGACGCCCATTGGCACGCAGTAAGCATTCGTAAGTGTGGTCTCTTTCATTCATATGAGGACTATACCCCGTGGCTTCAAGTAGCCTTTGATGACAAAGTACTTAATAGCCCTAAAATACTCCGTAACCTAGATGTACCTCAATTTCCTTAATCGTTCTGCAGGATAATTTGAGGGCAGAGAAAGTGTGAGAAGGAAGGCCACCCTGGCAATCATGAAGCCTGCAGGGGTGGGTTAACTCGGAGCTGCAGGGCTGGTAGAAACCAGGGCAACCAGGTTCCCCACTCGGGGTGTTGCCCTGGCAGGCTGGCCCCACAGTGGAGCTCCAGTCGGATGGAGGCAAAGCGGGCAGGAGGCGAGGCAGCGGGAGCCAGGATGAAGGGTCTGGCAGGACTGATGAATGAGGAGGGGAGAGGCAGGGCGTTCAGTGTTCAGCCTGCGGGTGGATCAGCAGAGGCGAAGGGGTGATTTGAGGAGTGTGGTGTGGGAGAGAGGAGGGGGGGATGAAGGAAGAGGAAGAGCTTTAGAGAAGAAGTGTGATTCGGCTTCCGGGAAACAGTCTCTGAGATGATGGGGGCAGCGAGGGGAATTGCCACATAAACCCCAAGCCGTCCCTGGTGCCGTAGGTGTCCTCACCCTGGTCCAGGCCACTGTCCTCGTTGCCGCCGGGGCACAGCTTTCTCACTAATCTCCCTACCTCGGCTCTCGGCCCCCCCGACAAACCGTCTCCCTGGAGCGGCCACAGCAGTACGACCTGTGAGCCCGTGTGGGACACTGCCAACCTTCCAACGGCTTCTGTCACTCGAAGAATAAAATCCAGCCTGTGTCACAGTCTCCTACCCTCTTGGCCTCACAGGCCTCACAGGTTGGGCCTTCTCATCCCCAGTGTCTTTCCTCATGCTCTTGCATCCTTCCAGAAGGTTCTCCCCTCCTTGCCTGAGTAACTTTGATCCTCCTTCAGGTCTTAGTTTAGAACTGTTGGGGCTGGCCCTGTGGCATAGCGGTTAAGTTCCGCATGCTCTGCTTCGGTAAGCCCAGGTTCGCGGGTTTGGATCCTGGGCACAGACCTACACCACTTGTCAGCCGTGCTGTGGAGGTGACCCACATACAAAGTGGAGGAAGATTGGCACGGATGTTAGCTCAGGGCAAATCTTCCTCAGCAAAAAAACCCAAAACTATTCTTCCTGGAACCTATCCTAGACCCCCAGACCAAGTGAGGATTCCCATGATACCCTCTCCTTCTGTAACACTTGAGCACCCAAGACAATGGGCATTAAAAATTTGCATGGTTATTTTTAAATTAATAGTCTTTATTAGTTTTTAGGTTTTAGGTTGACAGAAAATTGAGCAGATTGTACAGAGAGTTCCTAACACTCCCCATTTGCCTGCACACAGTTCCCCCTATTATTAACGTCTTGTATTAGTGTGGTGCATTTGTTACAGTGGATGAACCAACGTTGAAACGTTGTTATTATTAACTAAAGTCCATAGTGGACATTAGGGTTCACTCTTGGTGTTGTACACTCTGCAGGTTTTGACAAATGCATAATGTCATGTATCCACCATGACGGTATCATACAGAATGGCTTCACTGCCCTGAAAATGCCCTGTGCTCCCTCTATTCGCCCCCCCTCCCCTCCCTCACTCCCTGATTTTCATAATCTTCTCCCTGTTAGACCCTGTACTCCGTCAGAGCAGGGACCCCATCTGCTTTGTTGACGTTATGCTCACCGTTCCCAGCTCACAGCCTGGCATATAACAGGTGCCCTAGAAACATCTGTCCTTGCATATTTTAATAAAAATAGGATTCTACTCAACATGTTATTCTGCAATTTGCTTTTTACAAATATTGACAATATATCTTGGAAATCTTCCTGTATCAGAATATAGAGCTCTCTCCCTCTCTTTAACTTTTTATTATGGAGAATTTCCAACATGCATGCAAAAACAGAATCTCCTGTAGTAAACTGCCATATACCTGTCACCCAGCTTCGCATTATCAGCCCGGGGCCCTTTTTGTCCATCCGTGTCTCTGCCCATGTGCCCCCTGGCTGTGTTATTCTGAAGCCAATCTCAGACATCAGATAATTGCATCTGTAAATATTTCAGTGTGTACCTCTAAAAGATGAGGACTTTTAAAAACAGAACCACAATACCATCATTGCACCTAAGAAACATTCATTTGATATCATCTAATATAGTCAGTGTTCAGATTTCCAGCTGTCTTCTCACTAATGTGCATTTCATTTGTGGATCTGAGTTTAGAGGTTGTTTGAATCCAGATCCAGGTGAGGTCTACACCCTGCAATACCTGGGAGGTGTCCCTTGATCTAGGTCCCTCCTTCCCCATCAATTTTTGCCCCTTGCAATTCATCTATTAAAGAAACCAGGTCATCACTTCTGGAGTGTCCCTCAGTCTGGTTTTGCCAATGGCATCCCCCTGTTGCTCTTTAGTATGTTTCCCTGTCCTCTGTATTTCCTGTAAATTTGTAGCTGCATCCTGAGTCTCGATCAGATTCAGGTTCAACTTGTTCTGCCAAGACTGCTTCAGGATGGGGCGCATCCTAGGGGGCGGCTTCTCTCTGTGGTCCCTCTCTGTGACGTTCCAGGCTGTGAATACTCAGTTGCCTAGAGCCGTTCACTCAGTAGGGGCTGCTAAGTGGCAACCTTCTAATTCTTTGATTTCTTCTTCCACTATGAGCTGGAACATTTCTATAAAAAGAAACATCCCCTCATCCACTGTCGGCTCCCCGGAGGTACAGCTTATCTAAGACGGGCGGGACAAATGCTTGCTTCTTTCCCTTCATCTACCAGTTTTCAGAATAATGAGTTGCCTATAAATATTTGAATGAATGAATGAATAATACATGTATGGGTGAACTGACAGGAGTTCGGGAGTCGGAGTTCTTTCTCCCCTCCCTCGTGGGCGTGGGTGTGGGCCACGGCTGAGAGCAGAGGTGCGGCCTGGGGCCGGGTCCACGGCTACACGACCAGAGGCTGGTGAGCGCCTCTTGCTACCTGTCAGCCCACCTCGGTCAAGAGCGAAGGTGATCAGAAGTTGCGTTACTAAAAATACAGCATCTGGGACAAGGGCATCTTGTCACCCCACCCCGACCGAGCTGTAAGAAACCCTTGAAACCACCATCAAAGAGGACAGCAGCCCAGCAGCAGTGGCCAGGGCAGCCTTCATGCTGGGAAAGGACTGGAGATGGTGGTGTTCCCTCAACAGGAGGCGAATTGGGGACTTTCTTTGTTCGAAGGAAAATCGTGGCAGGTTGGACTGGTGGCCTCCAGAGTCCCCTCCAGGCCAGTCCCAAAAGCTTCCCCTGCCCCTCCTGGTAGGGCTCGCCTTTTCCCAGGGGCCTGGCAGGCCTGCCGTGAGTTTGCTGACGTCTGTCCACCCCATATCCCCCCAGGTGCAAGTGCAACCTGCACGCCAACCTGTGCTCCGTGCGCGAGGGCAGCCTGCAGTGCGAGTGTGAACACAACACCACCGGTCCCGACTGTGGCAAGTGCAAGAAGAACTTCCGCACCCGGTCCTGGCGGGCCGGCTCCTACCTGCCGCTGCCCCACGGCTCTCCCAACGCCTGTACGTACCAGCCAAGGGGCGACTGCGGCCCTGGCCGCTGTGGTCCCCGCCCTTCGACCCCAGGAGCTGTGGGTCACACACACGCATACATGAACGAACATGCGCACACAAACATACAAGCACACGTGCACACACAAGCATGCATGCACACACGTGCACATGCACATATACACACAAATGCATGCACACACATGCACCCACACACCTCTTGTAATCAAGACCCTCTAGCACACCTGCATCCTGCTGACCCCTAAGCCGCCCTCTGGCCTGGCCCGTGGGAACCCGAGGTGAGCTGCTCAGCATCTTTCCTGCTGTCCTTCCCCTTCTTGACCCTGACGCTGGAGAGAAGGCTGCAGGGTGGCAGGGAGGAGCCCTCACTCCAGGCTGAGTGTGATCAGCACCGTCCCCCATAACCAGCATTTGTGGGGCATTGACAACCGGCTGCACGATGCCAAGTGCTGCATGGTCACCACCCCCTCAACCCGCAGAGTGGCCCCTGGAAGCAGGTCTCCTATGATCCCACTTTCCAGAGGGGTCCTCCGAGGTCCTGGCCCTCACTTTCTGCACAGGGAAGCGCTCCTCGGGGTTCACCCACACACACCAGCATCACGAACACCTCCCGCTCGTGGGGGCCCCCGCATGGTCCACGGGTGTCTCTATGAAATCACGAATCCCAAGGAGCCCCTGAGCTCTCCCGGACCACCCCCTAGTGGCTTTACTGATGTCTGACATCCGCCAAGCGCTTCGACAAAGAGGCCACCCGTGCACTTCAGCAACAGCTTCTCACTTAGCCCTCACAACAACCCTGAGGGGTGGTATTATTATTAGCCCATTCTCCAGATGAGCAAACTGAGGCCCAGCAGCCCTCAGTGCTCTCTCAGGTTTAACAGCGGGTCATGTGCCAGTCACTGGACCTAGTTCCAAAGGCAGGGCTGGGCGGTGGCCTTCGGCACGGGGCCGGCCCATCCGCCTGGGCATACTCGCAGGAGCCCCTCCATCGGCACCCTCCCTCCCTCCACCGACGTGAAAGATTTATGCGACTTTAGTCTGATCAAAGCTGAAAGCTTCACAGCGAGGCCGTGACAGGCTTGTCGGGCGAGTGCTGGCCCGAGGCGCGACAGCCCTTTGAAGGGGTGACTTGCCAGGCACGCACCGCACTCGCGGCCTTCAAAGGGACAGAGAGCTCTGGGCACTGACAGCCACCCCGCCTGCTCCCTCCTGCCAGGTGCCCGACCTGTCTCTTTATTGCATGAGCCAGCTCTTGAACCCTTTCTTTAGTCGATGTCACCTCCCTCTCTGATTCACAGTCTTACTCCCCTCATCCATCTCGCTGGCCTCCCCCCTCCCCTATCTCCTCCTCACCTCCTCTCCGTTCTCTCTGTGTCCCATTCCTCCTGGAAGGGTCCTCAGAGGTCTCCAGGCAGCCACAGATTGAGGCTCCTACCTACAGGTCACACACTGTGGGGCCCCGGGCTGAAGGCAACCCTCTGTCTAACCAGCAACGGACAGACAGGCTGGGCCACCCACACCTTTGCCTCTGAAACCTCTCCTCCCCTCCATCCCACAGGGGCGGCCAAGGCCTCCTTGTTCAGGGGAGCTCCAGGAGCCGCCCCCGCTCCCTGCTTCCCGAGGATCCCCAGGAACTGTCTGCGAGGCCCCCAAACCGCAGGAAGGAGGGGTTTCTCCTGGAATACCCGGGAGCAGGGGTGAGGCTGGAGGGGCTTTCTCACAGGGGCTCCCACCTTCTCTGGGGCAGCCAGGAGAAAATAGCCCAGAGACACAGACTGAAGTGAGTCTGGTTAACTTCACCCTCCCTTGCCCCTGCTCCATGTCTCTGTCTCAGCAAGTGGCACGGACACGCAGGAGCCCGGATGCAAGTCTTGGAGTCGCCCTGGACCTGCAGACCCTCCGTCCCCACCTGCTCCCATCTCCCCATCTCGTCCCTGCAGGAGCGCCCTGCCCTCGGGCTGCGCTGGGCCATCCTCCCCTCCACAGACAAAGGGCTTTCCTCACCTGGGTGCCCACCTGTCCAAAGCCTTCGGTGCCCCCCAGCGCCCTCAGAGTAAAACCCTAACAAGTCAAGCCCCCCATACCTGTAAGATAAGCTTACCCTGCCAGCTCCCACCACTTCCCACCTCCGAATCCAAACGCCCTCCAGGTCCACTTCCCTGAACCGCCCGCCCCCCAGTGTCTCTTGTGACTGGATCTTCACGTCCCTGTGACTTGGAACACTCCCCTGTAACCCTCTGTGACTCTCACCTGGCTGTCTCCCTCACCCTCCGAGGCCCAGCTTGGAGGTCACCTTGTCCCTCTGTTCCTGCCCCCCAGCCTTCACCACGCCCCCTCACATGGGAACTACGTGTGTCCCTGCCTGCCCTCCCTTAGCACGTCTGCCCCCTGAGGCTGGCCTCCCGTGGCATCCTCAGGGTCTAACTGGCTGGCCTCCCATGGCGTCCTCGGGGTCTAACCGGTGCCTGCCTGTCCTCATCGAGTCCTCGTAGCGGGAGCTCAGACGTGCTGGTAAAGGAGGGAGGGGGTGTCGCACAGGCACGTCTTCCCAGGCTCCCTGATTGTCCCACCTCAGGGCTCACCCACCAGAGGTCCACACACCACACGTCCCCCTACTGCCACCACAGGCCACCCCGAGGGCCTAGTGGGCGCTGAGAGGCTTCTCAGACACTGCCTTTCTCAGGACCACCTGGAGGGGGAAGGCAGCTCCAGCTCGTCCCTTCGGGGTCTGTGGCGATTCTTGCCCCGGTCAAACCAGGCCTTAGGCCTTGCTCAGCCGTGGGGCCTGGACACAGACAGAGGGCCGGCTGGAGTCAGGCCTCTGCCCCTCACCACTGTGCGGCCTTGAAGGAGTCCTTTGCCCCTGAGCCCTGTTTCCTCATCTGTAGAATCCGGACCCTAATAAGCCCCCCGGGGGCTGTTGTGAGGACTAAACTTCTCCCGTGGGGCCGTGCTCAGCTCAGAGCCTGGCTCGTAGGAAGCGTGGCAGCCGCGCTGGCATTATTCTTAGGTGAGTTATTGGGCTGTCCCTCTGTTTCCCCAGATGGGAGCACAACAAGGTTCCCTTTGGTAGCAAATTCCATCAGGGCCCCAGGAAACCAGTCTGACCCCCCAGCTGTGACCCTTGTGTCCCCCGACATCCCATCATCCCCTGGAGAACAGCCTCCCGCCTCCTTGTCCTCCCTGGAGGACCCAAGGCTAAAACCAAATCGGAGGAGTGTGTGTGAAGCCCCCAGCAGAGTGTTTGGCACTTAGCAGGTCCCCGAGGGTAAGTCATGGCTATGAGACTCAGTTTCTCCACCTGCAAAATGAGCTAATAGCCCCTCTCCTCCAGGCAGCGAGATGATCCTCCCAGTCTCGCGCAGCGAGGGCTCAGGCTCGGGGTCCAGTCGCGCCGTTTCCTCCCTGCCCCGCGGCCCCTCGTCTGTCTGCAGGGCGGAGGCCCCGGGCTCCCCAGCCCTCGGCGGGTGGCCGGTGGCGTGCTGACCTTTATTCTCTCTGCAGGTGCCGCTGCGGGCTCCGCCATTGGCAGTAAGTACGCACCCGGGTCCCCGCCCCGGGAAGGCGGGCACGAGCCTCCTTGCACGTCCTGGAGAGATGGGGAGAGGAAAGAGGGGGCGTTCCTGTGTCCCCGGGCCCACGGCCTCTCCACACCTTCCTCTCGTTGTGCCCATTTGCTGCTTCACACCGCCCCTCCTTCCTTCTCCTTTGTGGTCACAGTCACGTGCCTCTCACAGCTTCCCCCTCGAGCTTCTTGGTTTGGGCTGCTTTGGAAAGTCTCCTTGACCCCTGGGTGAACTAGCCACTCCTCCCTCTCCCACCAGACAAGAGTGGGGGTCACCTTCCTCCCCAACCCGTGGTAGGCTCCCCGGCAGCCTGACCGTGGGGTCCGGCCTCCCTCCAGGCAGCCTGCAGTTATCACCCTGCAGCCGCTTGGCTTGGGCCCAGAGCACTGGAGGAAGCGGGGAGGGGGGGGAGGGAGGAGGGAGCGGGGGGGGGTCTTGGGAGCTCAGCGAGGAGGCAGAGAGGGTGGGCGTGGGTGCTGGCAGGCCATCCTGAAGTCGTCTTCAGCTACCGCCTCTCAGGTGCTGGAAGCGCCAGGCCTGCGCTAAGCAGGATGCTCTGGCGTCTCATTTCATCCTTGCACCGCCACCCTAGGTGGGTATCGCGGTCTGAGTCAGCAGGAAAGGACCAGCCAGTGGGAAAGAGACCCCCAAAGCTCAGAAATGTTTCTGGGGGGCGCTGCTTCCCCACCCCCTCCCCCCCAGGGCTCTTTGGGGGCACCATCCCACCCAGGCTGGGCCACCACTGGACGGAGAGGGCACCAGAAGGAAGTTGGATCCTGGGGGGGATGCAGCCACTCCATGAGGTCTTAGTTGCTTCTCTGTGTTGCCCCTCACCCACCAGCTCCTCCACTCTTGCTTCTCTCATCTCTCGCCAGGCATCAGCAGGTCCCGGAAAGACCCTGCCCCCAAAGCCCCTGTGGCCACTGTGGCCGTGAAGGGGGACCCTGCCACTCCTGCCCCCAGCATGCCCACCGCTTGGGCCCCCAGGGCCCCCAGCAACCCACAGCCCACAGGTGGGTGCCCAGGTGCAGCCCCGCTGCCCTGCCCTTCACCACCTCTCTCCCGAGTCTCTGCCTGTGTCTGTGAGGTGCGATGCTGGGGGGTCAGCTCTGGGGAGAGCTTGGCTCGGAGAGTAGAGGATGCTAGAACCCTAGAGCCACAAGAGCATGGGGCTCAGGGGCCTTCAGACCATCGGAACCCCCCTGTCACGGGGCCCCAGTCAGAGGATACAGGGCTCACTTTAAGCTCCTGGAATGTTCTTCCTCTTGCCCCCCAAGGCACTGCTCAGGAGGGCCCTGAGACCACCATGGCCAAAAGGACAGGGTGACCTAGGAGGAAGGGGCCTGGTGGCAGCAAGGCCACGTGAAGTTCACTCAAGGCCGGGGCCTGTCTCTCAGCAGCACTCCTGCCTCAGTGCTCCACAGAGCCAGCCGTCCCCACCCCCTGACCCCGGCCACCTACACCCTGCTCTGCCCCCAGCCAGCCAGCAGCCAGCGCTGGGAATGGCCAGTGTGGGATTAGCTGAGAAGGCAGACTCCTCAGATCAGAAAGGCGGAGGGCGCCTCTGAGCCTCTGAGCGGGGTTTTTAGAACATGGACTGCTGGGCATTTCGGGGCTGAGTGTGGGGGGCAGGGCCAGGCCGGGGCCCACTTCCTGACCCATGTCAACCAGGGCGACCCCACTCAGGGGTCTGCAGCTACAGACAGGCTGGGAAACACCCATTCTCTAATGCAAATTTCCCTCCAAAGGCAGGATTTGTGTGTTTTCGAGGCTTGGAGTGCTGGGCTGGCCCTCTGGTCTCACCTGGGGAGTCCCGTAAGACCCTGCCCACTGCATGTGCCAGGAGTCTGGAAGGAATCAACCTTCCAGAGGGTTCCAGGAAGATGGCAGCCAAGGGGAATCCTTCCTGGTCCCAGCTGGGACCCAGAAGGGGCATAAGATAGCTCTTTTTCTCTCTCCCTCCTTCTCCACGGAGGCATTTGCAGGAGGTGAGGGCTAGCAGGACACTCGAGGACTTCAGGGGAGCCTCCTGGCCCAAGAATCCTCTTTGGGGTGGAGGATGGGGTCACTCTGGGAATTCCAGGCTCCGGACATGAGCTGGTCCAGCCGCCTGAGACTTGTGCTTTTTTGCTGAGCCTGTCGATGGGCGGACGGGAGCAAAAATAGTCGTGGTGGGTGCTGTGTCTGCCTGCAAATGGTGGTCTGTCTGGGTGGGAGGCCAGACGCGCTCTCTCTCTCTCTCTGTCTGCACACACACACACACACACCCCTCAAGGAACATTGCACCCATTGTCAGAGCTGCCTTGATTTGGCGGAGGGCGAACTGCGAAGCTGGGAGTTAAGGAGAGAGTCAGAGGCAGGGCAGTGAGCCTGGAAGAGGTGAGGTTAGAGTCAGGAAGGTCCTCGGGACCCACATGGTGAGGAGGTGGCCCCCTCCCTCCAGGCTGGACTATCAAACACTTAGTGAGGGTGTGGTCAGCTCTGATCCTGAGCCCAGCACCGGGTACAGGGCATTAAGGGGAGAAGGAGGTTCCAGAGGGACAGCTGGGGACCTGAGCAGCCTGCCTCTAGGGATCATCCCTCCTCTTTAGCAACTGAAGCCGATGCATGGGGCTCCCATTATTCCTGGACCCCCACTGACAATGACAATGGCTCCAGGTGGTGGAGAGTGGACTTCCCCTGGCCTAAGAGCCACTCTGGCGTTGTAGTCCTCGCTCACAGCTCGGTCAGGTGAGGGCTGTTATTTTCCTAGTCCGGTAGGTGAGGATAGGAAGGCTTAGGAAGAAGCAGCTAAATTTTATGGTATATAAATCACACCTCAATAAAGCTGTTTAGAAAGAAAAAAGAAAGAAAGAAGCAGCTGCTCAAGGTAACAGGGTTACCAAGGCGCACGGGCAGGACTTGAACTCGAACTCGGGGCTCGCTGACTCCAGGCACCACCTGCCCACTCAGCCCCTGCAGTGCTACCGCCCTGAGGCTTCGGGGAGGGGGCTGGGAGGTGGTGCTGTCTTTAAGGCCTGGCTTGCACAGCTCCAAAGGAACAGACGGGGCCTCCATCTGGTCTTGGCACATGACACAGGCCGCTGTGCTGCGAGAATGTTCTTCCCGCACACCTGAGCATGTCCCAGGAGAGCCCAGCCAGGCGTCTTTCCTGCCCCCAGAAAGGTCCTGAGTCTCTCCAGGTGCCTCCCAACAGGTGCTTCAGGCTCTTTGGCCAGAGTCCAGCGGGGCCCAGGAACCCCTGCCCAGATGCCTCTCCTGCCTGCCAAGGTCACGCCGTCTGCAGGGAGGGGCTGCCGGCCGGCGGGCAAGGCCGCTCAGACTAATCCCCTCCCTGGCCGGCCCGCGGAGGGTGGAGGGGGAGAGGCACCAAGCCAAGTGCCTCCGGGGCGGGTTTACTGCGGCTCTAATTAAGCCCTTGCCAATTTGGGTCCAGCAGCCTCTTCTCCTCATTGAACACCAAATTAGTGTCAATTTGATGTCCAAAGGCCCCCAGCTCCCAGCTGGAAAGTCTCCCACACTTTTCAGCTGGTAGATTTTCTTTTTCTTTCCCCACCAACCGGCATGGTGCATAATCCCTTTAAGAAGGGGGAGAAATCCGATTTCTCCCCTGCCCCTTTGGGTTTGTCCTTTGAAATTCGGCCCAGAGCCATTCTTTGCCTTTGCCAGCCTGCCTGCCTCCCCTGTGGTGTGTCCAGCTACTCTCGGAGATGGGCACTGTGGTATCTGGGGTTTGGCTCATGTTGGGGTCCATGAAAATGGGCCCAAACCAGGGGGTAGGGAGGTAGGAAAGGTGCTGACTGGGGAGGCACACCAGACGTTGGAGGATGCTCCGGTCCCTGGATTGGGGTTTGACAGGAAGCCTTTGAGGACCCTTCTGGACACATTGACGTCTTGCCCAGAACACACTCCCCCTTTACAGCCATTGGGCAGAGACTCAACACAGAGAGGTCTGGGTCCAGGCACGGGACTCCATCTACCTCACCCCTGCAGTCGGAACCGGGGCCACACAGGGAGGGTGGACAAGTTCCAAGACTCAGGTGTCCCACTGAAGAAAGGACTCCCCTCTGGCTTGAAGTCCACCTGTGCCCTCCACAGGCTGCACTCGTGTAGACGCTGCCTCTCCAGTAGATTTGGACCCAGTTCTGTGTTGGCCAGTATAGTTAGAACCGCTTCTTATAGTGCTGCTTCTCATAAGGGGCGTGTGGGGCTGTCTGAGTTTGATGTCTCGGTCAGTCCCAGGATTCCCCGACTCCCACCCCCTCGCATAACTCCGTTTCTTCTCTTCTTTCCCCCCAAGAGTGGATCAGGCCACCTACAGCCGCCCCCCTCGGGAAGAGCCCCCCCTGGCCCCAGGTGTCCTCCAGTGCAGAAGGTATGGGGGGCAGGGCCTTAGCTCCTTCGTAGCCCCCTAGGCCCCTCCCTCTGTAGTGGAGGTAGCGGGTGTGTGTGGTGGGGACCGAGGGAGGGAGGGGGCCTGAGGGGCAGGGCCTGGGAGCTCTACCTGCTCCCAACCCCAACTCTTACCTGCCTAGAAAGGGCCTGTGTGACCTCACCAAACCCGAACCCTCTTCATCCTACACTCTCCCTGAGGGCTTGGGAGCCAAGTGGAGACTCTGCCCTCATAACATAATCCTCTCTCCTGCCACCATCATTCACCAGACACCCCAGGCAGTGAGAGAGCTCAGAGAGAGTCAGAGCGGGCTTCCCGCAGGAGCTGGGGGGCAGTCAGACCCAGAAGAGGGGTTGACTGAGTAGATGAAGGGAGAACGTAGCATATTCCAGGCGGCAGGACCAGCGGGGGCAAAGGCTTGGTGGTGCGATGGGGGTGAGCAACCGGCCCGGCAAAGCGGAAGATGTGTTGGTTAAACGAGGGCAGTGGGGCATCGTGGAAGGCACTGATCCCCAGCCAAGAGCCTCATTCTTCCACTGCGGTGGGAGGAGCCACACATGGGCTTGCTTGTAGCCATGGATGGACACACGCAGGAAGCACACAGGGCCTGCCTGAGTCTCCAAGAAGGGAAGCTGTCCCCGGTCCCAGCTCACCTTGTTCCCTGGACAGTAGGCCTAATGCCCAGACTTAGGCAGCAGCCCACCCCACACCTCAAGCTCCCTCAGCGCCAGCTCGCCGCGCTGAGCAGGGCTTTGAGCGCCCTCTGCTGGCAGGCAGTTCCAGAGCCTGAACCACAGTTGGTGAATGTCTGTGGTTCCCAGCAACCTGGAGGCCCCTGGGTCCGGGCATCCTCCCTGGTGATGGACACAGGTAGAGCCCTGCCCTCGACTGACAAGGGCACCACAGACTCCCAAAGGGAGGTAGCAATGCTTCTGGGACAGTGTCATGGTCACCCACAAAGATGGGGCTTGGGGCTCCGGTGGGATCCTGGGCAGTGAAAGGCAGGTGCTGTCTGCGCTCGTGGCTCGGCAACACCTGCGAGTGGGGAATCCATGGACGGTAGAGGACACTCTTTGGCTGGGGCAGGGAGACTGCTCTGGAAAGTAAGGGAGATGCCAAAGTCTCAAATGCCAGCTTCAGACTCTGGATTTGATGCTCAAGGGAGCTTGGAGAAGAGAGGAGAGAGCAAAGCGATGTTTTCAATCTGTTAAAAACTTGTTTGGCTTCAGCAAAGTGCTTAGTGCTCTGTGTGGGATGCTTGGGACAGAGAAGTCATCTGGGAGGATTAGTCCAGCTGGATGCGTAGGAGGTCTCCGAGGGGGGACCAAAGGCAGGGCTGGTTCTGCATGCCCCTGGATGTGCTGTGTCACCTCCAATCTGAGCAGGCGACAGGGCTGCCCCAGAGCTTGCCAGGGCACCTTGGGAGCCTTTGTTGGGCTTTTCCTGAGTCTGGATAGCCCGCCCTGGACAGCTGGACCGTGGCTGATGAAAGAGCTTGTTTCTCATCTCTCCAAGCTGTGGGCACCTCTGCCACTGCCCCTGCCAAGGCCTCCAAACCCTTCCAGCTCAGGCCCAAATCTCCGCAAGTGATGCCTCTTGAAGAATTCCAAGGTAAGAGGAAGGCCCCAGGCCGGATCAGCCCTCCTCCACCCCTCTCCCCTGCCTCACTGCGACAAAGGATGCCTGGCTCGGAAAGCCCTCCCGCAGCAGCTGGGTCAAGGTGAAACTGAGCCTGTCTTCCCTCCCGTCCTCCCTCCCCAGGGGAGCTGGGAGCAGGTATGACTCAGAAGCACAGTGGGCAGGCACAGGGCAGGCAGAGCAGCTGCCAGAAATAGCCAGTCCCGGCTCCCCTGGGAGGTGTGGCCCAGGCCCAGGGGCTTGTCTTGGTGGAAGCAAGATCTGGGACACAGGGGTCACAAACACTACTCCTTGGGACACTTGGAGGATGCCTCACCTTCTCGTTGTCCCTGGAGGGACAAGGTGATGGGGGCAGCTCCAGGAGGCCCAAGGCGTGGGAATGCCCACCATCTCCTCCTGGGCACACCTCAGAGGCTCATTTCTCCAAGGTCTCCCATGTTCTTGACCGCCAACACCTGCTCAGTCCCCCCCTCCCATCACCAAAGGGAGGTCGGGTCCCCTGGAGATACACACATGCTATTTCACGAGGGGGGCCAGCATCCTTCCTTGTTCTGCGACAGCCATGTGGCTTTCTTGCTCAGAGGTGTTGAACCCGTTAGGAGGGACACCAAGGGATGGCCCCCATTCTTGCAGCAGGAAAGGTGACTCTTCTCACCAAACCCCACCCCTTTGTTATGTCATGGGATCCACCACCAACCCGTGGGGGCCTTGCTCTGGGTCACAGGACTTGCCCAGTCCCTGGAGCAGAGGCAGGGCTGGAGGAGACAGCAGGATGGGGCGGAGATGACTGTCCTCGGTCTGGAGTCACATGCCTCCAGTAAGAGTCAGAAGCGGGGCCAGGACTAGGGGGAGGCAAAGCGAGGTGCCCAGGGCACAAACCTTAAGGTGGCACTCACTCTCAGGGCCGTGCAAGATCGGGCCCTCTGGTGCCAGTCAGATTTGCAGAACAGCACAGGCTGGTAAGAAAGGGTCCTGCAGGTGGGCGTTTTCCTTCCACCGTCTTCCAAAGCAGCCTGCGGAGGAAGCTCCTGGCCCATTCCATCTCGTCCAGCGTTCATGCATGCAGCTCTCCTCCCCTGACTCGCTGGGGATACAATGGTGAACGCACACCATGAACCCAGGCACCCCCCTCCCTGAGCTCACAGTCTGTCGGCTTGACCTGACCCTGCATGAATCATTTTCTAATCACCCCGGCATCCCATGGGCATCCTTCAGAGAGCACCTCGCCGTGGCACCCAGCAGGCCCTTAGTGGGTGCTGCCCATTTATCCTCCTGGGCGTCTGCCCACAGGGCCAGGTGGGAATTTGTGGGCTGGGCCTACACTGCTCCTCCTTCGGGTTCCAAGGCGGCAGGCCTGTCTCTTCCCAAGTAGTACAGAAGTGCTGGAGGTCCAGGGCACCTTCCCGTGCCAGGTCCTACCCCACTACATGTCCTGGGTGGGTCCTTCCTCTCGCTGTGCCTCAGTTTCCTGGAACACACGTTGGGGGGTGGGGGAGCAGGAAGGCACCGTCTCCTTGCGCTCACTGACTTGGCGTCTCTCCCGCTTGCCCGGTGCAGACTGCGAGTGCTACGGCCACTCCAACCGCTGCAGCTACATTGACTTCCTCAACGTGGTGACCTGCGTCAGCTGCAAGCACAACACGCGAGGCCAGCACTGCCAGCACTGCCGGCTGGGCTACTACCGCAACGGCTCCGCCGAGCTGGACGACGAGAACGTGTGCATCGGTGAGCCGGGCGCAGCGCGGGAAGGCGCTGGAATGGGGCGAAGGGCCCAAGGCCGGCAGAGCGCTGTTAGGTGGGGTCTGGAGACCCCTGCGTCTGAATCCCCTGGGGAGGCGGTGGAAATTGCAGCTCCAGGGCGCATTCCAGCTGGGCGTCTCTAAAGACAGAAGCCTCCGGAGTCCGCTCTATTAATAACCTCCCCGTGCGGTCTTTCCCGAAGGCACTGGAGTTTGAGAACCACTGGTTAGAGTCAGACTGGTTCTAGAGCTTGCCTTGCTGCTGTGTGCATGTGAGCAATTCCCTTCCCTTCTCTGGGCCTCAGTTTCCCCATTTGTAAAATCAGGAGGCGGATCGGATCAAAGATTTTCAACCCTTTTTTGTGGTTGAAGCTTCTCTTCAAGTGAAATTGTTCCGATGGGTTGTAAGCAGAGGCCCAACTTACAAAGCCGCCCACCCACAAGCCCCAGTGGGCACTTGGTCTGATTTCCTCAAACGCTGCTCCAGGACTGGCTTTCGGGGGTAGAAAAGGAAGTCATGGGGGCCCTGTGCCTGGGCAGGGGCGGGCCATCCCAGAAGACCAAACCCGTGGCCCCCAGCCAACACCCACCAGCCTGGAAGGGTTGCCCACCAGCCCGGGCTCTGTCTCCTGTAGAGAGCAGGTCTTGGCCCTAGGGTGCCCAGCCCCCTGGGGACCCAATGGCTCATCCCCCACCCAGCTGGCCAGCTCTGGCCGCACAGAGGAGGGCAGCCCACAGAGCTGGAGCCAGCAGTCTGAATTATGGCGGCAGCCTTCAGATAATAACATCAACTCTAAAGTGAGCCAAAGGGAACTGTGCTGCCCCTGTCACACTGGCCAGCTGCAGGGGCAGGGCGGGGCCTCTGGGTCCCATTAGTGGTGCCCCTCCTCACCCCCTCCTTTGCCTTCTCTCTCTGCCTGCACCCCTAGGCCCAGCACTGGGCTTCAAGGGCTCCCAGAGTGGGGACATTTGCCCCCTCCCACAGAGCCGAGGCCCCAGGAAACCAACTGGGGAGGGGCCGGGAGAGGCTGGCGGCCTCTGGGGCTGCTCCGCCATTCGGCCTGAAGAGGAGCTATAGGTGTGGGCTACGCCCTCCCCCCCAAAACACACACAGAAACCCCACAGCCTGGATGCCCCACGGCCTCTGAGAGGCTTCTCCCACCTGTCAGAGTCGTAGCTCTTTAGAGCTGGGAGGGATCTGAGCCCGTTCCAGTGACACGCGGAGACTGAGGCCCAGAGAGGGGAAGGGGCTGGCCCAGGCCACACAGCGCCAGGGCCCGGGATGGGGGAGTTAATGGATGCCAGGGAATGATGACAGTCTTCCCTCAAGATCTGGACACCCCAGACAGCCCCCACCCGCCGTCCAGCCGCGGGGAGCGTCTTCTGCGGAGTGCCGAGACTCGGCGGGGAGGGATGCGGGGCCGGGCGGGTTGGAGGGCCAGGCGGAGGGCGCCCACGAGTCGCTCAGGCCGCACGCCGTGCACGTGTCCATGCAGAATGTAACTGCAACCAGATCGGCTCCGTGCACGACCGGTGCAACGAGACAGGCTTCTGCGAGTGCCGCGAGGGCTCGGCGGGGCCCAAGTGCGACGACTGCCTCCCCACGCACTACTGGCGCCAGGGCTGCTACCGTGAGTGCGCGCCCGCGGGGGGCGGGGCCTGATGCTGCCAGAGGCGGGGTGTGGGTGGTGGGCGGGGCCAGCAGGGAGTGGAGGAGCCTGGTGCGACTGGGAATAGTCAAGAGCCAGGAAGGCAGTTGGAGGCAAGAGTGGAGCTGGGGGTTGGTTGGAGTTGGGGAGACCCGAAGGACGAGTCGGCGTTAGCCACGGGAAGAGGGTGGAAGGGCGCTCCAGGCACATGAAACAGCGTGTGTAAAGCTCTGGAGGTGACAAAGCAGGTGCGTGTGAAGAACCGCGCCAAGGCCAGTGGGCTGGACAGCCAGGCGCAGTGGCGGCAGGGAGGCGGGGGCCAGGTCTCGCCCGGCTGTTGCTAACATCCACGCGGGGGCCAAGTGCGCCCTGAGCCTCCAACACCCTCTGTCCAGGCCGCGCCCCCAGGGTTCACACGTCCCAGTCGCTGAAGCTCTAACCGGGGGGTTGGAGGGTGGACCGGGCCACCACCCGCGTTAACTGCCCCTCCGCCCCGCAGCCAACGTGTGCGACGACGACCAGCTGCTCTGCCAGAACGGCGGCACGTGCGTGCAGAACCAGCGCTGCGCCTGCCCGCGCGGCTACACCGGCGTGCGCTGCGAGCAGCCCCGCTGCGACCCCGCGGACGACGACGGCGGCCTGGACTGCGACCGCGCGCCCGGGGCCGCCCCGCGCCCCGCCACCCTGCTCGGCTGCCTGCTGCTGCTGGGGCTGGCCGCCCGCCTGGGCTGCTGAGCCGGCCCGCGGGACCCGCGGCCCGGGAGGGCCGGTGCGCGCGCCCTGCGCCCTGCGCCCGGGAGCCGGGCCGGCGGCGGGAAGGGTGCGGCCCGAGCTGCTCCCAGGTGCTACTCAGCAGAGTCCTCCCGCCCCCTCAGTGGCACCTGCCCCCTGCCCGGCACTGCAGCAGGGGGCGCCGTGGGGCCCCGGCCGCAGCGACCTGCGATTTTGGTCTTAGTTTTTCTTTTCTATTTCCCGCCGCCCCGCCCCCCCTTTTTTTGGCAGGCGGTGAGGCAGGGGGTGGGGGAAACGCTGCTCACCCCCGACTCCCCCAGGTCCTGCCTCCCACCCCACACACACACAGACACACGACTGTTGCGGACGCGCCCTGCGCCGGGCCCGGCTGCCCATCAGCGGCCGCCCCGGAACTCCAGCTGCCTACAACTCCAGCCGCTACCTTGATTCTCTTTTATATTCTCTCTTGGTTTTCCTTTGCAACCCACCAGACCCCAGGCCCCCGGAGAGGCCTGGTGACCAAGGACCCCGCCGTCTGCGGGACGGAGTTAGGAAGGAGGGTGGGGAGGGCTGGAAACTTTGTTTTGTAGAGAACTATTTTTGTTTGTATTACTGTCCCCTGTAAGGAGGGACCCGAGCCCGACGCCGCTCACCCCCCGGGTGGTTGATGGTGTATAATCCGACAGAGTAAAGAATCTGCTCACTGCTGCCTCCACGGCCTGTGTTCTTTCTCTGTGTGTTCACTTACACCCGGCAGGTTTGGGGTTTAAACAGGAGCCCACAAAATCGCCTTAAAGAAACGATTTCCCTCTCAGGGCCACCACCTCCCCAGGCACTTCTGTGAATGAGAACAGGCAGCCCTCCTCCTTGGCCAGGCGTCGCCCTGCCAGTGACCACAGGTTAGGAGCTTCCCCAAACTTAAGAGGTTGTCTCCCTTCTGTCCCTAAAACAAACAAACAAACAAACAAAAAAACCAGAGCTTTTGGCGCTTCTCTTCTGCTGTCCTCAAATTTCAAAGCACATGGTGGACATTGGTTTCGTCACTGAGAAGTCCCCGGGAAATGAGCGGCAGAGCGTTCTGATAGAGCGTGACTGCCTGGCTGCGATTTCTAAATCAGGATGGATGGGTCCTCTCACTCCTGCTGGACCCCGAGCCTCAGGCCCGCTGCCTGCCGCCGCCTCCTTCCAGCGCCCCCTGCTGGCCAGAGATTCCCAAGGTGGGCGCAGGCAGGCGGAGGTGGGCACCGCCAAGGTCCACAGCAGACCGCCCTGTCCTTCCCCTTTCCCTCCTGGAGGTCAGGGAGGGGCCCTGGGGCAGCATGGGAGCGGTGAGAGGAAGCTCTGAAGAACGAGGTCCGTCAACTGAGGCCCTTTGCCACACGAGGGCCACCCCCCCAGCCCTTGGGCGTTGCACGTCCCCCTGCTGCTTGTCCAGAAGATGGGCATTCTCTCCTCACCTACTTCCTTGCGAGCAGGTTCCCAGCCCCACGACTGGGTTCTGCTTCCTAGTTGCTCCCACAGCCCCACCTGCAGGTACCCTGGGCCCTCGGCTTCCGCCAGCTGCAGCCACTCTTTCAGGGGTGGGGAGTTTAGACCCGCGCCCCTCCCTCCAGTGCCCAAAGCAAGGCTGAGACCGAATTTAGCAAAACTTGGCCTTCAGGATGACAAGAGATTGCCACACAGCGAAGCAGGGGGAGCTACAACTGGATCGGAACTGTTATTCACAGCATCTCAAGGCCAAACGCAGCCACGACCCCGCCCCGCCCCGCTCCACCTCCTCCCTCGGCTCCCACTCCCAACACCAGCTTGCAGCGGTCAGCGCCCAGCCCCCAAAGGAAGTGGTCCCGCCTGGCTTCATCCCCCCCATCCCCATGGTCCATCCCCACCTTCTTCCTTATTGACAGTGCCCCACAAAGCCCAGCTAAAAGGAAACATCTCTGGAGCTTCTTGAAGAATGGGAGTGGCCATGTGACAGTTCTGGCCAATGAGATGTAAGCAGGAGGGATGGGCAGGGCTTCCAGAAAGTTCCTTAGAAGCATCCCTATCCGGAACTCCCCACCAAACCTCAGTTGGCCAGGTTTTGGGCCCTGGCCTTTCTCTCTGGCCCCTCCCCCTGGCGCTCAGTCGCAGGCTGGGCCCCAGCCCCCACCCCCACCCCCGCAGCTCTGGGTGTGAGCGTCCACCTCAGGGATGGTGAAGCCAGGAAGGCGGAAGTTGCTTTTCTGAGATCCGAGCAGAGCTGGGGACCAGCCCTGGTTACCCACCTCTGCACTTCTGAATGTACGAGAAAAATAAATCTTGATGTGATTAAACGCTGGAATTTGGGTTTTCTGTTACATACAGACTTACTAATTCCTAAGTTATTGGCTCTCCCCACCCAGCATCTGGGCCCGCTCAGTCCACTGAAGCCGGAGAGACTAAACCCTCCGTCCCTCAGCTGGAGCCCCCACGTCATAATACTGCCCATGACAACAATGAAGACAGCGGACGACAGCACTAGGCCAAGGGGTTCAGGGCCTTGCTGTCTCGAACCACCTTTTTCCAGAACAGGACCTGCCTCCACCTTCAAGTGAGTGCAGGGGCAGGCTGACCACAATCCACCTCCAGATGCCGCCAACGGCTGGCTGCAGTTTGTGAACAGTGATGGTCTTCCTCCCGACCATCACAATATTCAAATAGAAAGGAACCACAATAGTGCATCGCCAAACACACCCCCCCAGTCTTGGGTCCAGCTCCCGAGACAGAAGCAGAGCTCGAGACAAGGGTTCAGTGCGTGGATTTGTTGAGGTAGGGAGGGAATCAGGAGAGGGAGAAGGGAACGGCCCCGCATGGGTGTCCAGCCTCAGCCTGCTCCACCGAGGGGGCTCTGGAGTACAAATCACATCTTGAGGCAAGGGGACAGCCTCATGTCAGCCAGCCGTCGGCTTCCTGCTGGTTGGGGGGATGCTGAAGTATAAGCGCCCTGTACAGAAGGTGGGCAGCGGTGAGCTGTTAACAGGCCAGCAGCCGCGGAGGGGGCGGCTCCCATAGAGGGGCTCTGGACAGGGCACCAATGGCTTCTACTGTGCACACACCTTTGTGTCACTCTGGGTGTGTCCCTGGAAGGCTTCTGAGGGGTCTGGGAGGAGAGAGGCCTTGCTGGGCAGTGCTGTGTCCTCCCCAACATCTCTCAACCCGCCCAGCGCTGTGTCAGCTTCCCTGGGACCAGTCTGTGAGAGCAAGGGCCGGGGAGGTGGAGCGTGTTGTAAATCCAAGTGGCAGCTCCAGTCTCTGAGGACGCGGCTCAGGCCCTGACCTCTGCCGGAGGGTGGAGGGAAAGTTGCCAGCGGCCATTTGGAAAACTCTGACATCTTCCAGGCGGCAGGGAGGAGAAAACAATGTAGTGGAGCCCAAAGTCATCGCCCAGCCTCCTTTGAACAGAGTGCCCTCGTCCCCAGAACCCACGTTCTGACATTGGGTCCATCCGAGAGGGAAGGAAGAGAGGGCTTCCGTTTCACAGCCTGGATGACAATAGTCACCTGTCCAGGGGCACTGTGCGAGCATCGTCACAGGAAGCCTCACCTTCACCCCAGGACAGGCGCCTCAGCCTCGGTGCCTTTGACATTTAGGCTGGATACTTGTGGGGGGCGGGGCGTGTAGGAGGAGGCGTCCTGTGCACTGCAGGATGTTTAGTAGCATCCCAGCCTCGGGCCACTAGATGCCAGTAGTACCTCCTGCCCGGCCTGACAACCAGAAGTGCCTCCAGGCATTGCAAATGGGGGGCAGAATTGTCCCCAGTTGGGAACCCGCGCCCCAGGTGGAAGGGATGGTCGTGCCGTTTTACAGAGGGACAAGCGGAGGTCAAGAGAGGGGAAGGGACTTGCCTGAAGTCACACTTGCTAAGAAGCGGGGCAGGAGTTGATTCAGGTCCAGAGCCCAGTTGAACCCAGACCATGCAGCCCCAGGCCCGGGGCAGCCACCCGGGGTGGGACCTGCAACTGCTCCTTCTCCCGCCCCTCCTGCCGCCTCCGCCCTGCAGCGGGCTCCGGGGCCTCGGAGCAAGGCGCCCTGGGGAGCCAGCCTTCATCGGCTCTTGCTGTCAGGGGACATGCCTCCACGCCCTGCCCCCACCTGCCCCCTCTCCATCAGTGGGCCTGCTGCGTCGGCGTCCCCGCCTCGCTCCCTGCCATGCCTCACGGGCCTGGGGCATCGATGGGCGCCTGGGGAGTGGCCATCGCACGTCCTGCACTTCCCGCTGGGCCGCTCTCCCCCAGGCCGAGGGATGCCCAGCACGTCCACAGCCAGAAGAGTTAGGGGAAGAGGCCCAGGGGAGAAAAGCCTTACTTATTTATTTTTCCTTTTTAAAACACAAATCACGACTGTAGGGAAGTTAGAAATACAGAAAAGCAAAATAATAATCATTTTTAAATGAAAATCACCCACAATCCTCCACCCAGAGCTAATAACTGTTAATATTTTCTGATGTACGTTTCTAGTACTTTTCCGTAAAACAAACCCGCAGGCAATTTCCCCGCCTTCCTTAAGCCCCGAGCTAAGCTTTGTGCTGAGGCCTGACATCCCTATTTCAAGGATCCCGGCAATGAAGCTGGGAAGTCGGCTCCAGGAGTATAGCCATTTTACAGCTGAGAACACTGAGGCTCCAAAAGCATCCAGGTTGGAGAGCGTAGGCGCAGCACCAAAAACCAGCTTTGGGTGATTTAGCAGAAAAGATTTCTTGAAGGATTGAGGGGCCCACAGACTCAGTGGGGGAGCTGGATGCACGGAGGGTGCCGTGAAGCCAGCATCGCCACCCAGTATCCTGCCCACGATGGGCTGGCCAGTGAGCCGCTGCTGCTGCTGTCCTGGTGGCCCACTCGCTGCCTCAGGCGCCGGCCCTGCCCCCAGGCCTGCCTCCTGTTGGCCTCCCTGCTGCGCCTCCCACCAGGTGCCCATACCCTCTGTCCACCATTTCCCATTCCATCAAGGGAGGGGGGCTGTCTTTCCCCAACCAGAGGAAGGGCACAAAGAAACAATGACTAGCCAGCACAGAGAGGGTAGGCAAGTCGCCCAGGGTCACACAGCCAACAAGAAGCAGAGTCCAGGATGGAAATCCAATCTCTCTGGCGCAGAAGCCCAAGCTTATAACACTGAGTGGCACCGTTGACACCTTTTTTCTCTATTTTGTTTATTTTTAATAATTCAGCCTCATCTTATACACACCATTTTTAGCCTGCTTTATAAAATTTAGCAATATATCCTGAATATCGAAGGAGGTATTTTAAGATGGAAAAGAAATGCAAGATCCCCTTCTTCCACTTTTGCTGTCACCTTCGCTCTTCCCCACCCAGAGCCCCGGTGGCGGCAGGACTCCAGCTCCCTGCAGGGCTGTCACTGCTTCACCCAAGAGGCCCTCTGAGGACACAGGGGCTGGCCAGGCTCCCAGAGACCCCATGGCTGTGTTCCTGGTGGCACAGAAGCCCTTGCTGTCCTTGAGGGTGGGCCCAAGGCCAGGTCAGGTGAACGCACCTGTGAGAGCAGCACTCCAGACGACTTCTGGCCAGAGGACACTTTTGTTGGCTGAGCAGGTGGCCCTGGGGCCCCGGCCAGGAGTAGCTGGAAGGGAGCCCGAGTCCTGGGAGCTCCAGGAGCTGGGCCCTGCAGCTGACATGAAAGGCACGGGCCTGACCCACACTGCATGTTCCCCAGCTGACATTTCTCCCCTGAAGGGGAGGTGGT